TAACGGAATACGTTACAGAATACATTTTGGGGCATGTATTCTGTATTCTGTAATGGAATACATTTTAAAAGTAACCTTCCCAACACTGTCTACACATCACTCCTTGTTCTTGAGAACTGGTACCAGAACACATTTGCTGCATTATTTATATGTTTGAGTGATGCTGATACATGTAGCCTTCATTATAAGGCTCTGTTCTTTTGATAGCAAGGGCTGTTGACCCCTACCTAACCAGCATCTGCACATACTCAAAGTAGTGGTTCCATCAACAGCTAGAACTGAGACCAATTTGATCGATCCTTCCAAGGTCTCGCCCACAAAAACACAAACGGCTTGAATTGTAAAAAAAAATAGAGATGACAACGAGAGCCTGCCAAAATATATTACAGCTTTATATACAAATATATAAATGTACAATCAATAAATACAAGGTGAAGTAATCTTGAGATGTATTATGGCTGTCGTTTATGTCAGTCCATCACAAATCATAAAGGCTTGGGTGATTTCTTTTGTAATGTTTGACCTTTTAGTATATGGCTATAATTTAGTGAAATGAGGTAAACTGTTTCAGGTGAGATGCTGTTGACCGAGAGGCGCACTTATCCTTTAAAATTTGATCAGTTTACCAAAACTAAAAACAATGCATATCCTTATTGGAGTGCAATCTCGACGACCTTAACATCTGAACTGCTTCGAGGGACGGAGAGCCTTTTAAAGTGACCAGTGACACAATAACCAATAAAATCAAAGATCAAGCAAGACTTCAAAAGATCAGAGATTACCATGTAGCTCATATTTGAAAAGATACCGATTAAGGTATTTACACAGACCACTGTGATTCTCCATTCAGTAGATTGTAAATGCTTCTTTGGTCCCTGTTGATTATTGGCAATTAGTGGTTACCCATATGGAAAAGAAATAGTAAAAACTTATATGATTTAACTCATGAAAGTGGCCACTTTCATGAGTTAAATCATATAAGGCTTACATGATTTACTCATGAAAGTGGCCACTTTCTCATTACTTTCATATATTGTTTTAGTAAGTATCCAAAACATACAAGTTTTATTATATAATTTTTCAAGGGATTTTATATCTGTTTTCACTCTTGTATGCTTTTCATACAAGTTTCACACAAAACAGATACAAACTTTATAAGATTTATATATATCTTTTCCGTATGGGTAAGTAAAGACAAATGTTGGGCACAAAATAATCACTTTGGACATTTAAAAAACAAAGATGTGCCAAAATTACGCCTATCACTCTGGATTATTTAAACATCGATAATAATCCAAGTTCACAAAGGCTCAGAAAACACATCGCTTCTGTCACTGCAAGCATATCAAAGTCGGTATAAACAGTACATATAGGATACAAAAAGCAAAAATAACGATTACAAAGCAGTTCAGCTACTTAAAAATGTCAGCACATCATCAAGGAGAAACATGCTACAGCAGCGTGATTTCTAGCACTGTGGATGAGGTTAAGTTGGTTGCACGGGAAGTTCAGTAAATACAAGAAGAGCAGGAGAAGAAGAAGAAAAAAACACAGCAAATCTCATATGTGTCCAGTTATTTGCGAAGGCGTTCCCAGCGTCGCTGTGTGCCGCCCGTCTTTGGCTACGTGTGAAGGGACAGATGATACGCGCGGTGGGTGTTTGAGTGCAACTTCAACCGTCCTGCTGCCCAAAAAGGCTGCCCTTCGTTTTGAGCTTGTGCGCCCTGGAAGAAGAAGAGTAGAATGAGACATCTTGTCTTTGATAATACGAAAACAAAGCTCACAGGACCTAAAGAGTGCTATCTATAGGATTCAAATGTGATAAATGTTTTATTCTTGTTGCTCTTGTTTTCAGATTTCATCTCCTCCTGGCCTCCACAGTTTCCTCTGTCACGCAAACCACCTGCTTGCCCTCTCTCACCACATCCACAAACATCTTGCCTGCTAACTCCTTCAATATCCTGCCCTCTTAATACATCCTGTAATTCTTCTCTTTGCATGTCTAAACCTGCTCAATCTCCCCTGAACTGCCCAATGTCTCTGCCTAAAACTCTTTCTAATACATTTGTAACTGTTAATTCAAGTTTAATCCTGTATTTCTGTGGTTCAGGTTTGATTTACTCATTTTTCCACTTCCTCCAATTTATCAGCTCAGGGAAAATTGAGTTCTCTACATCTCTCTAACAAGAAAAACCTACTTTTCACATTTAAGCAAACCCTTAAAGATTTTATTTAAAGTAGAAAATGTTTCACTGTCTTTAACTTACAGTTTTTCTTTACGGCTCTGTTTGTCTTCCTTTGACTTGACAAAGACGGCGTTCTCTCCTCCCCGGGTGAGGTCAACAAACTCTCCGTCCTTTGCATTAAAGATCACCCTGAATACACACAGAGAGAAAAAAACCATTATTATCATCCTAAATGATTATTTTTCCGTCACAACACTGCAGTGCGTAAATGTCAGCAGGTCTGAACTTACTTGGACTGAGTCTCTCCACACTTGATGCGAAGTTTTCGGATGTTGAACTTGGCGCTGCCCCACCAGGTTGACCAGCTGATGTACGCATCCCGCTCCCAGCGCAGCTTCACGATCATCAGGTCTCCGATATCCGTGTCGGTGGTGATGAGGAAGGATTGAGTGGTGTTACTGCTCAGGGCTGGTCTGCAAGGTTAAGACAAGAGAAGCTGCTCAGATTTGAAGGTTAGATTTGTCGACCTTTTCTTGTAATCTACATGTGCACGTCTTTGCAAACTTGGTTTGAAAGTTATAAAAGTAAATACGTATGCTGTTTAATGTACTCACAGAACAAAAGGAATATCTTCCTTCTCTCCGTTTGTTCCATACAGGGAAATCTTCATTGGCTGCTCCGTGAAGCTCTGCTTGTTCTGGCTGAAGAAATGTGCCTTCACCTGGTAGTGGAAAACTGTAAGGGGGGGAATCCAGTTGTTAGAGATTAGCCCAGTACTCTCATATTTGACTGCTCCAAGTTTGTTTATCACTAGAAAAGCTTATGTAACCTGGACCTTTCTCTATCTCAGTGTGACCTTTACAGACTGGCATTTAAAACACGGATTTGCGCTAAATCCTGGCTGGTTTCATTTGCAAAGCCACATAAATGACTAACAGCCAGATTCCCAGACACGGCTCAAGACGTGTACAAGATTAGAGGAAAAATTCAATAAAGATCTTTGTTGAAAAAAGTCACTGAGTGGCGAATGAGGCTCGATCCACGTTGGAGACCCTATGTATCTACAAAACATGCTAAGCTGTCCACACAAAGTTTCTAACAATAACACTGTTGGCTTGCGTCAATAAACTTTTCCATTGCTGGTGTCCACTGGTCTCACTTTTCCTTAACATCCCCTCCAGGTAAAGGAAACACCCGTGACACCTTCTCGTAACCTTCTGAGTGCGTGATGCTTTTTGTACACGTGTCGTTGCAGTAAGTGTCACCTTTCCTGGTCCACAAATTGTGCACAGCAACACTACCAGTACTACCAGTAATTCCAGCTTCAGGAAACCACATGCACACTAAGAACACCACAGAACAGTAGCTCACAGACTGAGGATTACTTTAATAAAGTATGTGAATGGCTTATAATCCTCCATAAAGTACATAAAACCAGCTGGAATTTTCTTCAGCTGTTAAATGTTAAATGTAATCTCTTTTGCACTGCAGGGAGCATCCATTCATTCTTCTTTAATATCACTGACAGATGCTCAAATCTTTTCGCGTGCACATCCTTTTTCCTGGTTTTTACCTTTGAAAGGCATCGTTCCACGAGTCTTGAGGTACATCGTCGTGCTGCGGGCCGTGCGGACTTTTTTCACGTTGTAGCCGATCTTGTTGCAGCGGTTCTTCCTGCAGCTGAGGCACATTCCCTTGTTGAAGGTGTCTTTGGAGTTGCATCGGAAGGCCACGCTCTGCTGCCCGATGTTCAGCAGGGAGTCGATGAACAGGTGGATGGAGCGCTCGTGGGAGCATTTGACAAGCTGGTCCATATCTGCGAAACAGAGAGCAAAGAACGCGTAAGGTTTCTGCACGTCGCCCGGATAACGTCATGCAAACATGGAAAATTACTTCCTCGTGTTGGACTTTTACTGTTTTTTTTAACACATGCTGACCCACAAGCCGTTTCCCACTTAGCTCTGCTCTGTTAAAGTACAACAGCTGAGGGGGCAGAACATCAAGAGGTGCTTTAATCTCTGTCACAGTGCAAGTCTGTTATGACTGGAGGCAAACACGCTTTAACTGCGGCCCTGAAAGCTTTTATACAGTCCGTGTCTGTTGATGCCACGTAAACTTACAAGAACTTATTATGTTTCGCAACATTGTTACAGACATTTGTTAAACCGATCGTTTATACAATTTAACCGATCACCATTATCTTCTGTTTTTGCTCATTATACTGAACATAAACGCTCACTCTTGGTGTTGAAGAGCAAAGATTATGTGATGCTGCATATGCTGATATGAATTCAGGTTATATTTGTATTTGGCTGTGTGTTATCATCAGTAATCAAATCAAACCTAAACAACCTAAAGTGCAGTCAAGAGCAAAAAGCAGGGAGGGTTTGTATGTCATACTTTGGAGGCCTCTGAGTCCTTCGAATGCAATTCCCATCAAAGTGTTCTGGATGTCGCAGCCTGGCTGGAAGGTGCCTCCGTTGGGGTAAATATCTATGTGACCCACTGGTCTCTGGATGCCAATACTGCGGTCCGGGGAGCCCCTGGTGTTGGTGTGCAGGACATCCACAAACTGGGCATCGCCTCGGGACAGTGTGCTCTGTTCGTCCGCGTGCTCGAACGTGGGGCCGGCGGGATCCAGACCTGGAGAAAAAGAGGGATTTGCGTTATTTTACTGTGTCACAACAAAGAAAATATGGATTTGGATGTACTAGAAGAAAGCGATCACTTTTATAGATAGATTTACTAACAGAGCTGCACATTGAAGTATTTTGACCTTTTACTGCACCTATGCAGAACCGCTGAAGCTCAAAACAATGTGAGGCAGCGAGTGTGGGTCCTTAATGGGCGCAGCTCTTAGATCACAGTAAACACACCATTATTCTTGGCAGGTCAGACGGATTTCAAAGCTGGGGCAACGTCATAGCGGCAAAAAAACCTGGAGCCACTAGCTGGCAGGAGCTCAGTAGATGTAGATACACATGCATGCCCGGATTATGTTTCACTGGCATGCTGAGGTGCGTTTGAGAGCGGCACTGGAAAAAAATACTCATACATATGGTACGGTATGTTAACACACAGGCACTTACACTATATTTAGTATTTAATGGTATCTGAAAGCAGGTCACAGTGCTTATAGCTAAAACACCTTACACAATCTTAACTGTAACGATGCAGTTGTGTGAGACCGTGCTGTCAGTCAGAACAGAGGGCAACACTGACCCATTGTGCTAATAAATCTATAATGTGAGCAGATAATAATCCATTTGGTATCTTAATGCTCTTACCTGTGATCCGGCTGATTTTGTGGTTGGTAAGGTCTCCGGCAATTCCAGCAACATGCGCTCCCAGACTATAACCCAGCAGATGAACTCTGTCCCAGGGCAACTGCAGCTCGTTCTGAAAGGTAAGAAATGCGTCAGAAGAACATATTGCACTCCCTTAAAACAGTTTGCAGAGAATCCTGCAGACTTGCAAGAGGGATCAAAACTATCTGTAGGTTATAGCTTTTCCAAATGTTCATAGAATTTTGGAAATCCTCCAAAAAAGGGGATCGTTTTATGTAATTTGGGGTTTGCCAAATCTTTGCAAGCTTCATGTAAACAAATTCTCCCCCTTTAGCCTTGTTCAAACCAAAGCTGCGCTCCACTAAGCCTTGTTAGGAGACGCTGTTGTGAGCCACAAACACGGTCATAAAACATTTTTATTGGCATTTAAAATCATAACCAGTAGGAAAACATATCTAGCAGCACCACGGGGTACAAACCATTACATCGTGTAAAGCAACTTTCTCTGGCAGCACACTGATGACAAGTCAGTGCTGTGGTAATACGGCCGTCCGAAAACGAAAA